AGTTTTTGGCCAGGGCTGGGTTTGAACTCGCCATCTCCAGCATATGGGGCTGATGCCCTACTCCTTTGAGCCACAGGCCCCGCCTCTCAGTGAGGAATTTTAAGGGCACGAGAGCAACCGATTGAGAGATTGAGACGGTGTTACAAGGTGGCAAAAATGAGACCTCAGTCAAGCCCTGGATTTATATAACTGCCGTTGCTTGCTGAATCATCTCTAGTCTTCGGAATGCCATGAGTTTAGTTTTCTCAGAACTAAAAGAGATATATAGTAGAAATATAATGCACATGATTATAATCAACAGAGAATTTGTATGGCGGAAATAATTCAGGATTTAGTCCAAATTGTAGGAAAATAATGAAAAGCTCAAAAACAACAGTCAAGCACTGGCTGGAATCTGATAACAGGCACGCTATGGTTTTCCCCTGAAACACAATTTTTCTCTCTCTAATTCTCCAATTCTATCAAAGATAAATCTTACTAGGACCACTTTGTTTGCAAAATACGTTTTAGTAGGATGCTTGGCCTGATTATTTGCATAAAGTGCAACAGGAATGCTGATTGGTCACATAGGCTCTTCTCTGTTGGCTTTGCTGTAACTTTCCTAAGGAATTTCAGATTAGACTTTTCGAAGCCTTGAGGCTAGAAAGCTAACTCAAGGATTTGCTTTTAGACACTGCCTGCAATACCTGCAGGGATTAGGAGAATTCTCTCTTCTTGAGGTCCAAAAATATCTTGCGGTTTCCAGGCTTGTCACATTTTTGTCTTACTGCAAGACCAGGAAGCTTATAGACAAGGTATCAGGCCGGTCTTATCAAGGGGCTTTTGACAGTTTTGGTAAAGTCAACATTAGTTCCTCAAAGCTGTCTGGTCCTATCTGAAAAGATGTCATTCACATCAAAGCATCAGTAAAATAACCAATGTACCCAGTAGGTCCTGAGCATATGTGTCCTGTCACAACAGAAAACAGATTTTTTTTTTGAGACAGAGCCTTAAGCTGTCACCCTGGGTAGAGTGCCGTGGCATCATAGCTCACAGCAATCTCCAACGCTTGTCTCAAGAGATCCTCCTGCCTCAGTTTTTTCTATTTTTAGTAGAGACGGGGTCTTGCTGTTGCTCAGGCTGATCTCGAACTCATGAGCTCAAGCAATCCATCTGCCTTGGCCTCCCAGAGTGCTGGGATTACAGGTGTGAGCCACCATGCCCAGCCAGGAAACAGATTGTTATTGAACGTATGCAAATAATTATATTGCCATTAAAATGAAAATACAAAGAGTTTCCAAATTTTGAGGTAATCTGGTAGAGCAGAGGTTCTCAACCCATAGGAACTGTATTAAAGGGCCGTGGCATTAGGAAGGTTGAGAACCACTGAGGTAGAGAGAAAGGGAGATTTTCCATTTTGCTCACAAAGGTATCTTTTACCCCATTGCTATTAACCACAAATAGCTCCAAAGAAAAATAGTTTTCTCAGTTTTAGAAAACAAAATACAAAAAGAATCAGCAATGTTTCAAACAAAAAGTCACAAAAATCATTTCAGTCCTCCATCCGTTTGGTCCCTGTGGTTAATTTTGTTCTGCTTGATGATGGGTTAACAATTCATGAACACATCAGTGTTTTGTTTTGTTTGAGACAGAGTGTCAAGCTGTTGTCTTGGGTACAGTGCCGTGGAGTGGTAGCAGCAACCTCCAACTTTTGGGCTCCAGCGATCCTCTTGCCTAGGTTTCTCTATTTTTAGTAGAGATGGGGGGTCTTGCTTTTGCTCAGGTTGGTCTCGAACTTGTGAGCTCCAGCAGTCCACCTGCCTCGGTCTCCCAGAGTGCTGGGATTACAGGCATGAGCCACTGCACCCAGCCAACACATCAGTATTTTATTAGCATTCTGGAAGTTTTTACTTAGTCTGGTGGTATGATCTCCAAAGTTTCCAGAAATCTGTAATCTGCAGGATCTGCATCTTTTCAATTTCTGTCTCTTGCCCAGGCCCATCCCCAAAAGCTCTCAGATGTGGGAGTCTCCTTTCCCTGTGGGGGCTGCAGGGGTGGGAACCGAGCGGTGCTAACCCACTAGAAGTCCTTCCACAGCCACAGCAAGGATTCATATCCCAACTGTGCCACTGCCAAGCTGGATGACCTTGGGCCAGCTGCTTGACTGCTCTGAACCTCCATGTCCTTCCCGGTACAATGACAGTAACAGCTCCTACCTTGCGGGACTATCGCGTGGGGATGCGCGTGCACCTGGCACACGCTAGGCGCTCATGAATGGAGCTGCTATAATTACTTTTCCCGGGTGAGGGCGGGACGAGGGCTGGTAGCCAGGCCTATATTTAGCGGGGAGAAGAGGGCTGTGGACTCTGGGAGACAAAGAGCCTCTGTCTGCCCCTGCCCCCGGGGGGGCGGAGCCAATGAAAGACCAGCGGCGGTCCCCACCTCCCGCCCTCCCCTCCTGCCGGGTCACCTTGGACTCTCTCAGACCCAGTGTGCTCTGATTCCAGCAACCCTCATTCCCCTCAAACTGGCAGCCGGGGAGGAGGCTACTGGATATGGGGGTGGTCAGCCACACCGGGAAGCTGCTCCTTCCCAGCCCCGTCTGCCCACGGCCCAGCTCCGTGGGCAGGCTGGCCAGGTAAGGGTCTCGCTGGGCTAGGGGCGCCAACATGAGCCTGCCCCGGTCAGGGGCGCGGGACACGAAGCTAGTCCCTTCCCCCCAACCTTGCGCTGATGAATGTCGGGGCTGCAAATAGCCCAGTGGAATCAGTGAGTCACCGAAGCTGGAAATACCGCACCCCCTCTTGGCCGCCCCCCTCCTCCTGACAGCAGCCAGCCGAAGCCGCCCTGGGGAGCGCTCTTGGGGGGGGCAGGGCGGGGTGGAGGTCTCACCAGAGAGCCTCCTAGGCTCCCTGAACCAGCCAGCACAGTCGCAGACCTTACCTCCCCTTCCCACGCGCGCACCCAGTTTCCCAGTGGTTCTCCCCCAGTCCTGTGTGACCCTGAGCCAGTCAGGCAGCCTCTCTGGGCCTCAGAGTCCGCATCAAGATGGGCTTCAAGAGGGCAGACGACCTGGCGCACCTTTGGGTCCCTGCAGTGCTTGGCACAGTGCCAGGCACATAGTGGAAGGACGCTGTGTCTTTCTTGGATGAAAGAATGAATAAAAGGGGAAGGAAGGGGCAGGCAGCTGGAAGAGAGTGTGCTTCAGGGGCTACACAGAAATCATCTTGGGGTTCCTGCTCATGTGGGCCTGGGGAGCTCACCAAAGAGCCCAAGGACACCCACATTTTCCGTAAAGTCTTAAGCTTTAACTTGAACTATCACCCCTCCCCCAGATCTCAAAGAAGGTGAGTTTGCTGACTCTAGCCCTCTCCCGAGTTTGAGAACTGCAGGCAGGTGACCTCCAGAAGTCTGTGAGAGGGTCCTTTATTGTGTGTCCAGATCCCAGTGCTGAGGCTGTCCCAAGGTCCCTCTCCCCAAGGGCCCTACAGCGGCAGGAGTGAGAGGTCATCCTACAGCGCAGAGGGCGGAGGCTGGCCCTGCCACTTGCAGGGGGACCCAGTCTACTGTGAACCACCCCTTCCCCTCACTCCTTCTGTACTGGAAGGCTGAGCTGGTCAATGGGGACAGCAGGTGGTCTTCAGGGTTGAGGCTTGTGAGAGGTCCCTGCTCTGGGTTGGGGACCAGGAGGGGATGGGCTTAGGGGCTTTTGAAAGGATTTTCCCCATCCCCTGTAGGAAGCTGCAGGGCAGGGTGCACAGCCCTAGAGAAGCAGAGAGTGAGGGGAGAGAGTCCTCCGCCCAGCAGCAGGGGGTTGAGAACAGCTGTTGACATCTGGGTTGACAAATGTTGACATCCAACCTTCAATGACAAAATCAGGCACTCCATGACTTAGTTTCCTCATTGATGAAAATGGAGATTGTAGGGCATCACCTGTGGCTCAAAGGAGTGGGGCGCTAGACCCATATGCCGGAGGTGGCGGGTTTACACCCAGCCCTGGCCAAGAAAAAAAAAAAGAAGAAGAAGAAAGAAAGAAAATGGAGATTGTAAATTTGATTTTAGGATGTGTGTATTTGGCCTCAACCAATGGTAATGCTGTGTGTGTGTGTGTTATATACACGCTAAGCCCGTAGATTCAAAAGGACAGGGAGGTGATGCCCAGAGAAGAAGGTTGCAAGAAGCTGGGGTCCAACCTTGAAGACCCAGAGCCCCATCCATACTCTCACTCCCACCTCTGTTGGGTGAGCCTGTCCGCAGTGGAAGCAGCCCCAGGAGCCCCAGCCTGTAGGTGGGTGGTGGAGCAGGACCAGCCTCATCCTTGTCCTGCCCTGGAGGCACCAGCAGGTAACACACAGCAGGAGTTTCACACGGTTTCTCATGAACAGGCTGTATTGGAAAAACCCCATTTATACACTGATTCGGTGTGGCCAACCCTGGCCGGCTGGCTGGGGTCACAGGGCGGGCAGGCAGCCTGCCAACTGGTTTGGGGCTTGGAGACTGGCGGAAGGGGAGTTACTGTCATGGCTGTCTCCTGGCCTTCCTGAGCCCTTGGGCAGTTCCACTTAGCTAGGCACCTCTCTGCCTGTGACCTTCCTCTGCCTCTCTTGCTCCCCTTGGCCAAGGGGGTCCCAGGTCCCTGGTTCCCCCTGCCACTGCCTTGCAGAGACTACAGAGATCAAAGGACTTGTTTGTCTGTCTGTCCTGCAGATCATTTTCCCTGATGCCCTGCTTGTCCCCCCCTCCCCCCACATGGGTTCTTGGGGATCTCCCTTCCCAGACCTGAACTCTCTATTCTGGATTCAGTGAGAAAAATCATATCTGAAATTGGGGCACTACAGGTGAGGCCAGGGGGTCCTTGGCCTACCCTGGGCAGAGTGGAGGGCCCTAGTTTGGGGGCTGACCCACCTGGGGCCTGGGAGGGGGGCATAAGGGCTGGAACACCTGAAAGATGTGGGAAGGGGTTAAGTAGAATTTTCTGGCAGCCAGAGGGGCATGGAGGAGGGCAGGCGAAGGGGAGGTCCTCAGATTTTGATCTCTGTCCTGAAGGTCTGCTGGACATGCTCTGTGTGTGGGTGACGTCGCGCCCGGATGGTGAGACTGCCGTCTTCCCGCAGAGCCGAGGTCACTGATGTTGGGTCCACATCCTCTGGCAGCTGGCACTTGTGAGCAAAGGTGTTCATGACTGTGCCATCAGCTGCCAGCTGGAGAAGGGGTGACAGGTCAGGGCAAGCTGCTTCCCATCCCACCCTGCTTATAATAAGCCAGAGCCCACTCTCTCTTGGCTGGGCCTCACACGCTAAGGGACTCTGCTTTTGGATGCGGAGGGCCTGCCCAGGGTGGTGATGGCCACAGGCCACAGACTGTGCCCAACAGGACAGGGGCACCGGGTCAGGCAAGGGGCTAGATGAAGAGTGGGACTCAGGGAGGGAGGACGCTCCCTGGCAGTGGCACTGGGGCTCCCGAGCAAGGCAGGAGAAGATGACACAGGGGAAAGCCATGCCCTCTGGATACCCAGACACATTGGTGTCCACCCACCAGCCCCTCCCCCACAACACAGCTAGCACATAGTGTCCAGAGGCCTTTGGAGCCGCTGAGTCACTGTCGGGGATGGCAGGCCTGGCACGTGCTGCCCACTGGTCCTGGTGCCCACAGCCCTTGGCACCCCTGGCAGAGAGGCCCAGGAGTCTGCCCTCTCGTGCTCAGGCTGAAGCTGGTCCGTGGAGGCTCAGGAAGAGCCTCGGGCAGAGCCTCTTCTCTCCTGGGGAGCTACAGCTTTTGCCTGCCTGGAGCAGCACCCCCGCTCAGGGCTGGTCATACCTTCTCTGGAGTGGTGGCCACAGTGACTCCTGGGAGCTCAGACTCAGAGACCCTAGGGACCCAGTGACCCTGAAACCCATGGGTGGAGGGAACATGACCTTAAACTACAGGGGCCTAATTCAGGCTTGGAAATGGGAGAGGGCTAGAGGGATGTCCTGGGGGGAGACTCCCTGATGCTGACCAGGTGAGTCCCTCTCCTACCCACATCCCCCCACAGGCTGCCAAAAGAGCTGTCCTCTTGATGCCATCACCATCTCCCTCTGGGCATCTACACCCTCAGACCGCCCCCTCAGGTCCTTCTCTGCTCACATCCCTCGAGCCCTCTTGCGTTCCCTAGAGGCTCCCTCGGCTGCCCTGGGTACCTTGGGGCAGAGATAGGCAGTGGAGTCCTCTGGCCTGTGACCTACAGGGGGCAAGGCCTGTGGTTTGCCCCAGGGGAGTTTGGGTGGGGAAGGGACACTGGCCAGGGTCTGGGGGCCCAGGATGGGAGGTGGGAGTGGGGGACACAGGCAGGAGGTGGACTAGGCAGAAAGTACAGGGCGGATTTGGGGATCCAGGGGTGGAGCAGGGCCAGGCTCACCTTCTCAGCCCGCACCTCTATTTGGTTGTTGGAGGTGGTAACGATGATGTCTTCAGGTGAGAAGTCTCTCACATCCACCACAAACTCATAGGCGTCTCCCAGGGTCTTGATATTGCCAGGCCCTGCAGGGCGGGCTGTGGGGAGGGCTGCTGTCAGTGGGGCATGGGGCAGTGCTGGTATCTAGAACCTGAGTTTCTGGCTCCTTCTCCTGGGGCAAGGGGGTGGCTCCTCCTGGCCTTCCCTCCTCCTTGGCTCCTAAGCCCCTCCTCACTCTTGCAACCTACCTTTCCTCAGTGGGGATGGGGCCCGACCCAACACAGGTGTGGGCTGTGTGTGTACCTGGCAGTCTATAGGAATGCCACACCGGCCTGGAGGCTGGGGGCTGCCTCACCCGCCAACCCCATCCAGACCTCCAGGGCTCCAGCTAGGGCCAGGCCATTGGAGCCATGTGAGTCCCTGGGGTCACATCTGTTCCTTAGAGGACCGCCTGTTTTCATGGGTACATCTGTCCCTGTGGCCACATCTGTCTTGGCCACCAGATGCAGCTGTGAGCTATGCAGCACCTGTTCCTGGCAGATCAGCAGCCACAGTGCGCTTGGTGGCGCCCTGGAGTAGATGTCCCCTACCTGGACATCTCCCCTCCCATTGAGCCCCTAGAACTTGCCTGGGAAGGTCAGAGGCTCTGAGTGGGGCCGCATGAAGCTGCCAAAATCCTCTGAAAACATGCTCAAGGACTTCTCCATGGGTGGGTCCTGGGTCGGGAGGGCTCGGGAGGCGGAGGACGAGGAGGAAGAAGAGGAGGAGGAGGAGGAATGGAAACTTCTCTCCGCTCTGAAGGTGGAGGAAGTCCTGTGGCTCATCCGCGGGCAGGCGCCGGCCCTGTCCAGGCGGGCAGGGGCTGAACAGGAGAGGGGTGTGGGCACAGGCCTCTGGGGGAGCATGCCGGGCCCCGACTGCCGGCCCTTTATAAGGCCCGTCTCTCCCTGGGCTCAAGGCCAGCCCCTTGTCTACTAGCTAAATTTAGGCCTCTCCGTGGCCCAGAGGGGGCTGGAAATCTTCTCCGGTGAGCCGGCCCTGCTGACAGCCCGACACACACAGCACGCATGCAGGCCGGGAGGGCTGAGCTCAGGGCCTGGCATTCCAGGCCGATCACTGCAGCCCCAGGGGCCTCCACGCCACAGAGCAGAGGGCTGGATTCCGTTCCCTTGCCGCCCAATCCGACTCCCAAGCTGGCCCCACGACCTGTGGGTTTGGTGTTCCTCGTGTCTTCTGTCTGTCTCATGGGCCTGGGGGCTTTCTATGGACTGTGCCTGCCCCTCAGGTTCTCTAAGGTCTGTGCCTCCTTGAAGACAGGGGGAGGTGGAGCCCCCTTCTCACCTCCCCCACTGCCATGTGAAGCCAGGGGCTCCTTCCCTTGGGGCAGAGAATGTTTACAGCCCATCTCTAAGGAATGGATGAGACGGCTCTGGAGGGGGGTGAGAATGTGCATCTGTCCCCCTGCCAACTCCCGAGGGGACCCGGATTCCTTGGTGATGCTTCCCCACTGATTCTCAGAACATTTAAGGGTCCCAAGAGGAGAAAGCTGGGGGTTGGGCCCAGAATCAGGCAGGGGGAGGGAGATAGTAACTGTCTGCAAAGATCTAGGTTATGTTCCCAGCACCTGTCTGCTTGACCTCCTCAGAGGAGATGCCTCGCCCCCAGCAGACGGGACTCCAGTTAGAGGAGGAGGACCCCAGAAGACAATGATTCCAGCCCTGACTACTGCAATGCCTTCTGTGCACAGGCTCCTGGCTGTGAGCTATGCAGCATGGCCCCTTTTGATCCCCCACACAGCTGGGAAGGAGCCAACGTCATTCCCATTTTATAGACAGGGAAGTGGAGCCTTGAAGAAGGGGGTCTGGCCCTTGTGTAAGCAGCAGAGCTGGGATTCGAACCCAGATGTGTTAGATCCAAACCTTCCCAGAGGCCAGGATGACTTGTGGAGACAGAACGCCTGGAAGGACATGAGAAGCCCCCCTCGGACACTCCCTGGTCTGCAGGGCCAGGAATAACATTGTGCTGGACCATAGCAGATGCTAGGGGAAGACCTTTCTGGAAGGCAGCAGGTCCCCTACCCTGCCCAGGTTGCAATGTGGGACTTCCACTGTCCTGTAGCTCCTGCTCTTTCTGCCTGGACCAGTGCCAGTTCCCTCCCCCGGGGAAGCCTCTCTGATTGCTCCCACTCACACAGCCCCCACCCCAGAGGCCCACAGCACTGGCTATCCTTGCCCACCCCCAGCCCCTAGTAGGGCAGCATGGCCTTCTGTGTTCTGTGACTCTCTGCTGTGTCCCCTCTCCCCTACCCTACTGGCAGCTTCCCTGGGACAGAGGTTCACCTGTCTCTGCATTAGACTGGGGAAGTGGGGACTGTTTCTCTTGTATGTGGCCCCCACAGAAGTCAGTCTAGAGCTTCATCTTCAGGGGGTCTCTGCCTATAGGGGTATTAGTGGTGCTGGTTCTATGTGAAGTGGAGGCTGGGCAGGGTACAGGGGACATCTAGGGACCAGGCTGGTGCTGGGACAAGAGGGTCTGTCACCTCTGCTGGAGATTCCTGCTGGGTCTGGGTCTGTGTCCCCCATCCTGGCAGAGGGGGTTCTAGGGCTAACTGGGAAGTCACCAACACTAAGGTGAGCTGGAGCAAGGGTGGGGGCAGGGTGGGGGGCCCAGAAGCCTGCCGCTTGCCAGGGAAATAGGAGCCAGTGGCTAAATGCAGACACACTGTCATGGTGCTCAGGGCCTGAGTCACTGCTCCTGGGTGTCAGATCCCATTACCCACCTCCGCCCACCATTCCTCCTCCTCCTTCCCCCCATTCCTGAGGCATCACCCACACAAAGACTGCGTCCTCCAGCTTTACTGGAGGGACCTTGAAAAGTCACTGAGGCCATTCCCCTGTCTCTAGGCATGTCTTTCCCTGTGCAAAACAGGGACACAAGGGGCTTCAAAGGGGATTCGATCCCTTGAATCCCAGTCACGCAGGGGAGCTTTGTAACAAACATAGACGCTTCCCTCTGCACCCCAAGACTCTGATTTAGGGTCTGGGGAAGCGGCCTGTAATCTGTTCCCATCGGTTCCCCCACAGAGGCAGCTCACAGGCCAGTGTCCGGAAACCACCCATCACCCAGCAGATACTTACCGAACACCTGCTCTGTGCTGGCCACTGTCCTAGGCTCTGAAGGACTCAGTGATGAATGGAGTAGAGACAGGCCCTGGTCCTGGACGGAAGAGGAAGCGGAGGGTCCAGGTGGTGAGGGAGTTAGTGGTGGCAGAGCTGCTCGGGCTTCAAACCTGCTGTCCCCCTACTAAGCCACCCCCACTGCCGCCCGGTGCTTGACGTGGGGTGAAATTGGGGGCTGGCACATGGGGGAGGTGGCTTTGGAAGAGACTTGCCTGGGCACTGTGCCCTTTGCTGTCCTTTTGTCCATATTCTGGTGCTTATGGGCCAAGGAGCATAGGGAGGGTGGGACTAAAGCCGGCAGCTCTCAGAGACCAGAGACTGAGACTGGTGTTTGGGGTGTACACAGGGCAGACAGTTATCCTGTTACTGTGCACAGTCAACAGGTCAGGGTGGCCAAGGAAAGGTGGCCCCAGGTCCGCACAGACCAGTAAACTCCAATCCTACTGCCCACCACACCCACATACCTGCTCCCATTTTAAATTGACATGGCTTGGAGAGTCTTACTATGTCGCCCTTGGTAGAGTGCTGTGGTGTCATAGCTCATAGAAACTTTAAACTCTTGGGCTCAAGCAATTCTCTTGCTTCTAGTAGCTGCGACTACAGGTGCCCACCACAACACCCAGCGATTTTTTTTGGCCAGGGCCAGGTTTGAACCCACCACCTCTGGTATATGGGGCCAGCACCCTACTCTTTGAGTGCCCCAATGTCCAGCTATTTTTTGTTTGTTTGTTTAGCAGGCCAGGGCTGAGTTTGAACCCATCAGCTGGTGCCCTAATCACTGAGCTATGGGTGCCCAGCCCAGGTCTCTTGCCCAAATCTTCCAAAAATGTCGCTGGACACAAAGCTACTTTGTGCCCAAACCATTGCCCTCCTCAGGAGCTAGAGGAGCTTCTGGTGGAAGAAGAGACGCACAGTCTAGGTCTGAGTTCAGCCTCTGCTGTGTGACTATGGTGAGTAACTGCACTTCTCTGATCCTCTTGCATCATCTACAAAGTGGTGATGCTATCCCCAACTCACAGAGTTAGGGGAGGAGGAAAGGAATTGTAGCTGCAAAGCTCCTGGCATGTGGCTGACACAAAACCTGTGCTTGTTTCCTTGCTATGTCCCTGTATACCATGCCGATGCCCTCTGTTGGACTGGGACAAAGACTGGGGCATTTACAGAGAAGCCCCCTGCCAGAGCTGCTGCTCCTTGGACGCTGTGGTTTGAGAATCGAGTTGAATTTCTGAGACCGGAGAGTCTGGACACAATAATCAAGTCTAGTCCTTCTCCAGGCCTCAGAGGCCTCCTGCTATAGGCCATGGCCTTGCTCCAGCTTGCTGACCTCCCCAGCTGGACAAGATCACGGGCCATCAAGGCAGGACCATGGAGTACAGCACGGCCCTCTGGGATCTTGGACAAGCAGCCTCATCTCACTGAGATGTCGTTTCTTCTTTCCTTTCTTTCCTTTGTTTTTCTCACTATGTCACCCTCAGTAGAGTGCCAAGTGCTGTGATGTCACAGCTCACAGCAACCTCAAACTCTTGGGCTTAAGTGATTCTCTTGCCTCAGCCTCCCAAGTAGCTGGGACAACAGGTGTCCACCACAATCCCGGGCTATTGTTTTTTTTAAAGAGACAGAGCCTCACTTTGTTGCCCTTGGTACACTATCGTGTCATCACAGCTCACAGCAACCTCAAACTCTTGGGCTTAGGCGATTCTCTTGCCTCAGTCTCCCGAGTAGCTGGGACTACAGGCACCTGCCACAACACCCTGCTAATTTTTTGTTGCAGTTTGACCGAGGCTGGGTTCGAACTAGCCACCCTTGGTATATGGGGCCGGCACCCCACCCACTAAGCCATAGGCGCCGCCCAATGTGCAGCTGTGTTTTGTTGTAGCTGTCATTGTTGTTGAGCAGGCCCTGGCCGGGTTCAAACCCTCCACCCTCAGTGCATGTGGCTAGTGCCCTAACCACCGAGCTACGGGCACCGATCCTGTCATTTCTTTAAAATGGGATAACTCAGTCCACCTCACTGGGTTTCTGTGAGCACTCACGGTAATTTTAGGGAGGGCTGGTGTTGTGCCTGGCACATGGGCGGAGAGGTGCAGTCCCAGCAGCCCCCCCTCACCTGTGCCCAGGTGCTTCCTCCTACTCTGTCCAGCCTCCTCCTTCTCCCTTCTCTGCTTTTTCAAGCCCCTCAGTGTCCTACTCTGAGAACCCCGCTCTCTGAGCTTCAGCCCCAGGAGATGGTCCCTCACTGTCCTGCTGTGTGGACGAGCTCCCCATCCCAGGCCCCTCGCCCAGGAGCCATTGGCACCCCTCTGCCAGCTGTGGCAGGCGGGGGAAGCCCTGCTCCCCCTCCCTCTTGGCAGCTCTGTCCTGCACTGCTGTGGCCTGGGCAGTTCTGGCTGGTTTGTCAAGGACATTCCTAATGGCCACAGTAAACCCCAGACCAGGGCAGGGGGGTGGGCGGGGCGTTGATTGGTGGAGCACACACCTGTCCAGGTGCTGAGGCGCTAGAGGCCAAGGAGGCTCTGTTAGAGGAGGGCCAGCCGCCGGGACAGCAGGGCAGACCCACAGGTGAGGAGCTGCTGGGTGCAGAGCTGGGGGCACGGGCCTTCGGTAAGGAGCTGCTGGGTGCAGAGCTGGGGGCACGGGCCTTCCGTAAGGAGCTGCTGGGTGCAGAGCTGGGGGCACGGGCCTTCCAGCGTCAGGGTCAGCAGGTGCTGAGGCGCTAGAGGCCAAGGAGGCTCTGTTAGAGGAGGGCCAGCCGCCGGGACAGCAGGGCAGACCCACCGGTAAGGAGCTGCTGGGTGCAGAGCTGGGGGCACGGGCCTTCGGTAAGGAGCTGCTGGGTGCAGAGCTGGGGGCACGGGCCTTCCAGCGTCAGGGTCAGCAGGGGAGAGGTGGGGAGGGCAAGAACCAGCACTTCACTCAAGGGAAAGGGGGCCTCCTTCTGGGCCTGGGGTTTTTCCTGCCTCTCAGGCCTGAGCTGTAGGGCGAGGGTGCTCAGGCCCAGGGAGGCAGAGTCATCTATGGGGATCCTGCAATGAGAGTGACAGCCCTGGGCAAAGAGACTGTTCTGAGCAGTGGGAATAGCCAGCATCCCAGAAGGGCGGGAGCAGTGGCCTCAGAAAGGCATGCGATCCTTCCTGTACCCAACCTGCAGCTGGACACAGGGAAAGGGACACCTGGAAACCCCCATGCCACTTCTCCCCACACCTTGACATACACAGGCGTACACCCTTGGTGACAGACCCCAGGGATGAAGGCACACCCAGTCTTACATGTCCTCCTGATAACCTCACACATATGCAGAGGAAGACACTGCCTTTCCTTTTTGTTTGGGAGAATATTGGGGGATGAGGGACAGGGCCCATCCCTCTGTCTGCCCCCCACCTAGGGACCTGATGGAGGAGCTGGTGGGCCTTCGTGAAGGCTCCTCGGGGAACCCCGTGACTCTGCAGGAGCTGTGGGGCCCCTGTCCCCGCATCCGCCGGGGCATCCGAGGTGAGAGCCTGGTTCCCTTCTCTCCCCATGGAAGACCTCCCCAGGACATTCCCCCTGCCCAGGTCCCACAGCCCCCACTTCTTCCTTTCATTTGTCCTCAGACATGGCTGCCAAGTTTTTGGGGTGTCAGGGAGGGAAAGGTTCTGTCTGTCCTTCTGTCTGTGGGTGAGATGGGCCATGGGTCTGCACTTTGCCTTTGGAGAGATATAGCCCAAGGCCTGGACACTGCCCCCACCCGCTACCCAGGGCTCTACCCTCACCTGCCTGTGCCAGTGAGAGGCCCTGAGGGTCAGCCACCAGGACAGCTGGGGCCCCAGTAAGTGGCTGGGGTGACTGTGGACCTTTCCTTGGAGCCTCATGTGCATTGTTGACTTTGAGACCTGACTGTCCCCTTAGCTAAGGGGCAGAGAAGGCAAGGACCCCAGAAGGAGACTTAGTGCAGCCCCAGGAGCTGATGCCCACAGCCAGGAGGGCCAGTTCCCAGGCTAGGCCGGCAGGAAGAGGCTGGGGCATTGCTGGGGGCTCCTAGGAGAGTTAGCACTACAGGCCCTGGGAACACACAGGAGCCAGGCTAAGCCCTTATGCTCTCTGAGCTGAGGACGCTGCTGAGACGCTGGTGAAAGCTGTAGCTGCCAGCCTCCCCCACAAGCCCCGATCCCTGATTGTCTACTGTAAGCCCCCAAATATGGGCAGGGGTGGAAAGGCAGAAGGCCTTGTAGTAGGGGCAGCAGGCCTAGCACCCCTGCACTACCACCGTCACTGCCACTAATCCCGCTCAGCCCCTCATGTGAGGCAGAGCCCACTCTAGACTGCCCTAGACTCCTCCACCTGGCCCCAGCCCCACCACATCCCAGCCCTCCTTGCCCCGGCCTGAACTGTGGCCCCAATGCTCCCATCCCAGGTGGCCTCGAGTGGCTGAAGCAGAAGCTATTCAGTGTGGGTGAGGACTGGTACTTCCTGATGACCCTGGGGGTGCTCATGGCCCTGATCAGCTATGCCATGAACTTCATCGTCGAGCGTGTGGTCCAAGGTAACCCTGGCACGAATGCCCAGCTCTGGACCAGGGGACTTCAGGCATACTCTTGGGGATGCCAGATGGACCTCCAGGTGCAGCAGGCATTGGGGAGGGCTCTGGCCCTGGCTTGCCTCCTGACTTGCTGTGTGACCCTGGGCAGGCTCCTGCCCCTCTCTGGGCCTCAGTCTCCTCATCTGTACAGGGAGAAAGGCCAGAATTTTCCCAAGAGCACTTCCTCCTCTGAGCTCCCTGCCCCTCTTCATGCCACCCCATTCCTTTCCATTCCCTCCCTCCTTGCTCTCAGCTCAGTTACCATGGAGTGGAGTGGGGGGGCACTTGACTAGACCCCCAAACATAGAGCTTTCCCTATCTCCACCCTGAGGCCTCCCTGGAGGAGAGTGTGACACAGGAAAGACTAAGACGCTTTTTCGGGAGACTCGTAGCTGCCGTAAGGAGGACCTATCATGCTCTCCGATGGTCCACACCCTGTCTCTTTTAGTTCTCAGTAGGTCTCCTTTAGCCACCCTGAAAAGGAGATTTTATCACTCGCCCATTTGACAGATGAGAAAACAGAGGCTCAGAGAGCTTGAGCTGCTTGCCCAAGGTCACTCAGCTAGGAAGTGGCAAAATTGGGGTGTGGACCTAGGGTTGTGATCCTGCCTCTTCTGGAGGGTCTGCCACTCAGTGGATGGCCCTGGGCCTCCCTTCTCTGAGCCTCCATTTCCTAGTGTCTGGCTCTGAGGGCTTCAGAATCTCTGGATGGCTCCCTGAAACCTGGCTGTCCACAGCACATAATTGGCTATACCGGGAGATCGGGGACAGCCACCTGCTCCGGTATCTCTCCTGGACCGTGTACCCTGTGGCCCTCGTCTCCTTCTCCTCGGGCTTTTCCCAGAGCATCACACCCTTCTCTGGAGGTGAGTCCACAGTTGTCACGCCAGTCCCCACTGGCTAAAACCTTTCTATACCCTGTGGTGCTTCTGATGGGGGAAGACGGGAGGCAGCCAGCCCCATTTCATAGCTGGAGAAGCAGGCTCAGAAGAGTCATGTCAAGGCTGAGTGAGGTAGCTCACACCTGGAATATGAGTGTTTTGGGAGTCCAAGGCAGCAGGATCACTTGAGGCTAGGAGTTCAAGACCAGCCTGCGAGAGGACTGGTACTTCAAGACCTCATCTCTAAAAAAAAGAAAAGAAAAAGGAGCCAGGTGCAGTGGTTCACACCTATAATCCTAGCACTCTGGGAGGCTGAGACAGGTGGATTGCTTGAGTTCAGGAGTTTGATACCAGCCTGAACAAGATTGAGACCTGTCTCTACTATAAATAGCCAGGCATTATGGCAGGTGCCTGTAGTCCTAGCTACACAGAAGGCTGAGGCAAGAGGATCTCTTGAGCCCAGGAGTTTGAGGTTGCTGTGAGCTAGGATGGCACAGTACTTTACACAGGGTAGCGCAGTGAAAAGAAACAAAAACAAAAGAAAGAGAAGAGGGCAGCACCTGTAGCTCAGTGGGTAGGTCACTGACCACATACACCGAGGCTGGTGGGTTTGAACCCGGCCCCAGCCAGCTAAAACAGCAGTGACAACTGCAACAAAAAATAGCCAGCCGTTATGGTGGGCACCAATATCCCAGCTACTTGGGAGGGTGAGGCAAGGGAATCACTTAAGCCAAAAAGTTGGAGATTGCTATGAGCTGTGACACCACGGTACTCTACTGAGGGTGATAACGTGAGTCTTTGTCTAAAAAAAAAAAAGAGAGAGAGAGAAAAATAAAGAAAAACAAGAGTCATGTCACTTGTCCAAGTCCCACAGCAGAAAGGCCAGGTGTGGACTATTTATCTGCCTGATTTCCAAGGGACCCCTCTGGGCCAGGCCAGGGGAGAAGGACTCGGGAAGGTTCCACCGCAGGGGGAGGGATGAGCAGAGGGGGCCCAGTCCCCCAGTCTTCTCAGCTCTGCCTCCAGCCCCAGGCCAGCACCTGGGAGCTCCAGGACTGTGTCCAGTGGTGCCTGAGACTTTATTCAGGGTTCTCCCACCCCGCCGGAGCTGTCTGCCAGGCCCAGCTCGATGAACACAGACAGCTCAGTTTCCTCATCAGAATCCCAGCATCAGAGGGTTTTGGAGGATCTAGCACAGTGGTTCTCAACCTTCCTAATGCCATGACCCTTTAATACAGTTTCTCATGTTGTGGTGACCCCTAACCGTAAAATTATTTTCGTTGCTACTTCATAACTGTAATTTTGATACTATTATGAATCATAATGTAAATATCAGATATGCAGGATGTGTTTTCTGATGGTCTTAGGGGTCGTGACCCACAGGTTGAGAACCGCTGATCTATCAGATCATAGCATGAAAATACTGTGCAGGGTAGGGGGTAGAGTGTTAAGAGTTTTAATCCAGAGACTGTCTCCATTTTGTTTCTACCTGCCCCTGCCAAGGTTCTGGGATCCCAGAGCTGAAGGTCATCTTGTCAGGTATAGTCTTGGAAGACTACCTGGATATCAAGAACTTCGGGGCCAAGGTGGTGGGCCTCTGCTGCACCCTGGCCGCTGGCAGCACCATCTTCCTGGGCAAAGTGGTACGGGCAGGCGTGAGGGCACCCCCTCCAATCCCAACCGGCCCCCTCCCCCTCTTTCCCTCTTGGGCTCCCCTTGCCCACCAAAACAGGCTTGGAGGAGACCCAAGCCAGTCCCTGCCTTCAGAGAGCTCAGACTTGGGGAAAGATAAAAGCCAAGTCCCCAGAGTGTGACAAAAGCCAACTCAGGACATCCCTGGAGGTTGGGGAGATGGAGGTGGAGAGGAAGCCATGCTGTCTCTGGTACCCTCACGAGGGGCCCCTGGGGGTGTCCCTGTGCCCTGTGCCCACACGTCACCTCTGCAGGGCCCCTTCGTGCACCTGGCTGTGATGATTGCTGCCTACCTGGGCCGTGTGCGCACCGCGACCATCGGGGAGTCTGGGGTAAGGGGCTCTGGGAGGGCTCCCATGGAGGAACGGGAAGCAGGAAGGGACAGAAGAGGTAAGCACAGCTCAGAGGGCTGACTCTGAGCCCGGGACTCCTATCCCCCCAGAACAAGAGCAAGCAAAATGAAATGCTGGTGGCAGGGGCGGCAGTAGGCGTGAGCACAGTCTTCGCAGCACCCTTCAGTGGTGAGACCCTCTCTCATACACCCCTGTACCCTGAGGCTCTCCTTCACAGCCCTCCATTTGCACCTCCCCACCTGGGCTCGGGCTCTCCACTCCTGTCTGTGCAGGCTGTGGGGCTTCAGGACAGAGGGTCAAGAAGGAGGGAACACTGGGGGCCCTGCAGCCAGGAATGGTGGAGCAGGTGCCTGAGCTCAGTGTTGCCCCAGGCGTCCTGTTCAGCATCGAGGTCATGTCTTCCCACTTCTCTGTCTGGGATTACTGGAGGGGCTTCTTCGCTGCCACCTGTGGGGCTTTCACATTCAGGCTCCTGTCAGTCTTCAACAGCGAGGAAGGTGAGCCCCATGGGGCTGCCCCACCCCTGGTGTTTCCCCTTTTCTCTCCTTGCCTCCCCTTCCTTTCCCCTGCCCCTTTCGCCTCCCCTCTGCTGCCACCTCCCCTTTCCACCACCTTCAAGAAGCATGGGAAGGAGCTGACCTATACTGGGCATGAAGATGGGGTGAGGAGACCTGAGGGCAGGGGGTGTGGAGGGCCTTAAATACCCAGACCTGGCCCCACTTCCTCCCCTGCTTGTTAATCTGGGCCTTGGTCTATGGGGTAGGGGTCCCATCTCTGCTCCCCTCTTCCCTCCTTTCCCAGAGACCATCACCTGCCTCTTTAAGACTGATTTCCCAGTGGACATTCCCTACGACCTGCCAGAGATTTTCTTTTTTGTGGCACTGGGGTGAGTCAGGGCCTCCCCCAGGCTTGGACTACTGCCCTGGCACTGGGGTCGGGCTCAGGACTCACCAACTCCACTCACCCAGGGCCATCTGTGGCATCCTGAGCTGTGCTTACCTCTTCTGCCAGAGAACCTACCTGGGCTTCCTCAAGACCAATCGCTTCTTCTCCAAACTGCTGGCCACCAGGTGAGCTCTGGGCCAGGGCTGGGGACTTCTCAGGGAGCCCCTCTGGACTCCCAATGTTATACACCCCTGCCTGAGCCCCATTCTTCCACTGAGCCCCCAAACCACCCCATAGCCCATAGCCTACATCTGGAGCCCCCAGCCCTCATTGCTAGCCCTCCTCTCTAGCACCCCACAGTCACTGCCCCTCCCACCTTACCAGGCTGCCAAGCCTCTCACTGAAGACCCACCCTGCCTTGAGATCACATCACTTCACTGAGCCCCACCCACCTAAGCAGCCCACCTCCTCTCCGAACTTTGTCTGCCCCCTGACCCTGGCATTGGGCAGACCTCCTTTTGCCCCTAGATACATGACCCCACCCCAGCCTGATGCCCTCCAACCTGCCCCTGCCCCAAGCTTTCCCCCCATGCCCGGCACTAGTGACACCCAGCAGTGTGGGGCTGACTCCCACGTTCCAGGCCCTGGAGCCCATGTCCCTCTCCTGCCCTTCCTGCCTCCAATTCTTGCCTTGGTGTCAACACCCAAGGTGAGGGACCTGCTCCTGCCCAGGCGAGGCCCAGTTCCCCACCATGGGGTGGGGGAAGAGGAGGGCCAACACTGGGCTTTTCCCTTTCAACAGCAAGCCTCTGTACTCCGCCCTGGCGGCCGTGATCCTTGCCTCCATCACCTACCCGCCCGGAGTGGGCCGCTTCTTAGCTTCTCGGGTAAGGGGCACTGAGTAGGGGGTGACAGGAGAGGGGAGCCCCCCTTTTGTGCATTATCTCACTTATCTCTACAACACCCCGTAAGGGAGATGCCTGGGCTTCTTTTATAGATGAGGAAATCACAGCTCAGGGAGGGCAGAGCCCCAAGCCGGGAGGTAGCAGAGTAAGATTTGAGGTGAGGTCAGGCAGTGAGGGGCAGCTAGGAACCTGAGGCTCAGCGCCCTCCTGCTGATTCCAACCTACCCCTGCCCCAGCTATCCATGGGTGAACATCTGCGCTCGCTGTTTGACAACACTTCCTGGGCACTGATGACCAGGAACTCCTCCCCACCCTGGCCCAAGGAGCTCAACCCCCAGAACCTGTGGGTCGAATGGTACCACCCACAGTTCACCATCTTTGGGACCCTCGCCTTTTTCCTGGTTATGAAGGTGGGCACCTGGGGACCAGAGGATGAGCAGGGAGTAAGGCCAGCTTTGGTCCGGATGGGAACTGTCTCCCCATAGCACATAGTATGAAACTATAGCCTCACCTCCTGGATCTGCCCCTTACCTGCTGTGTGGTCCCAGGCAAGTTGCTTGAGCTCTCTGAGCCTGGGTTTCCTCACCTTTCAAATGGGGTAATAATGACTATTTCCACCACAAAGAGAAGGAAGGAGAGCTCCTGGCTCCGTGCTCAGCACACAGTGGGCACTTTATCAGGGTGACGTCCCTTCCTTAATGCCAGACTCTGGCAATGGGCATGTGCCTTGGCACCCTCTTTCCCTCTAGAAACGCCTCTGTCCCCTGTCCTGCCCCTCTTGTCCATGCCTTGCCTGGTCACCACTCACTTCTGCCCCCTGGGCTCCCACCACCCATAGTTCTGGATGCTGGTTTTGGCCACCACGATCCCCATTCCCGCCGGATACTTCTTGCCCATATTTATCTGGGGTGAGTCTGGAGTCCTGAGGCTCTGAGAGGCTTGGGGCTGCTGGGCATGGCCGTGGCTCTTGGTTCAACCCTCTCCCTCCTCGGGGTGGTCCAGCTGATGGTCCCCAGGCATGGAGGGGCCCAGGTCAGCCCCTCACTCTAAGTCTCTGATCAGGAGCTGCCGTTGGGCGCCTGTTGGGGGAGGCCCTCTCTGTTGCCTTCCCTGAGGGTCTTGTGGCTGGAGGAGTCATTAATCCTATTGTGCCTGGAGCATACGCCCTGGCAGGTGAGTGGGTTGGGTGCCCACTGATGGACAAATATCATGGGGCTGAGCTGGACTTGGGGGATCAACTGGTAGCTCTGGAGTGGTCACTGGGCCACCCTGTGAGCCCCCCCATGGCTGTATTGGATCCTATATTATGCCCAGCCCCCCTCTTTTTCCCCTCTCCTGTCACCAAGCCCAGCTATTGGGATGCTTCCCACAAAGCCCAGGGGATGGCCTCTGGCCATAGCCATGCGGCATTGACCCCGGAGTGAGGCTGGCCACCTGAGCCTCGCTGCCGGTTCTATCCTACAGGGGCTGCAGCCTTCTCAGGGGCGGTGACCCACACCATCTCCACGGCACTGCTGGTCTTTGAGCTGACTGGACAAATTGTGCACGGACTGCCTGTGCTGATGGCAGTGCTGGCAGCCAATGCCATTGCCCAGAGCTGTCAGCCCTCCTTCTATGACGGCACCATCATCATCAAGAAGTTGCCATATCTGCCCTGGATCCGGGGTCGAAAGATTAGGTGGGCAGCACCGGCCTTGGGCTGCCTGATGGGGCGATAGTCTCCCTCCAAAAAGACATGCCACCATAGTTGATCTTGGCAGTGGTAGAGGCTGACATATAGCCTGTCTCCACTCTCCTGGGCACCACTTGTGACCTTGGGCACATCCTTGCCCCCTCCTCAATGTCATACTAGTCTCCAGCTGGTCTTCACAGCAGGACAGATATCACCCCATTTGCCAGATGAGATGCTATTTTTTGCTCCAGGTCACATGGAGAGTCAGCACCAGATCTAGAGATCCCCTCCCTCCTCTCCACTCCTGCTATCCTCACTAGAGCATTGGGGGCTGGAAGTGGCACTAGAATGGAAACAGGCTTTGAGGTTCTCATGTGACCAGATGGGACCAGAGCAGCTTCTGGCCCCAGAGAATCAGGGCACAGAGACTCTGAGAGTTCATGGGTCCCAGCCCCTACATGTGCCAGCTGCCACTTTGCTCCAAAGCTGCTTTCCCATCTGTGAAATGAGGGCAATTACTCCTTTCCCTGGGGAAGGGAAAGGCTGGTTTTCACAATTTATTTATTTAGAGACAGAGTCTCATTCTGTACCCTGAGTAGAGTGCTGTGGCGTCTTAGCTCACAGCAACCTCAAACTCTGGGTTTGAGAATTCCCCTTGCCTCAGCCTCCTGAGTAGCTGGGACTATAAGCATCTGCCCCAACGCCTGGCTGTTTATTTATTTATTTATTTTTATTAAATCATAGCTGTGTATGTTAATGCAATCATGGGGTACAATGTGCTGGTTTTATTTATTTATTTACTTATTTATTTTTGAGACAGAGCCTCAAGCTGTCGCCCTGGGTAGAGTGCTGTAACATCACAGCTCACAGCAACCTCTAACACCTGGGCTCAAGCGATTCTCCTGCCTCTGCCTCCCAAGTAGCTGGGACTACAGGTGCCTACCACAACACACGGCTATTTTTTTGTTGCAACCATCATTGTTGTTTGGCGGGCCCTGGCTGGATTTGAAACCACCAGCTCAGGTGTATGTGGCTGGCGCCTTAGCCACTTGAGCCACAGGCACCGAGCCAATGTGCTGGTTTTATATATAATTTGAGATATTTTCATCAAACTGGTTAACATAACCTTCATGGCATTTTCTTAGTTATTGTGTTAAGACATTTATATTCTACAATTAGTAAATTTCACATGTACCCCTGGTTAGTTTTTTAAAGAGACAAGATCTCACCCTTGCTCAAGCTGGTCTTGAACAGCCTCCCAGAATGCTAGGATTACAGTTGTGAGCCACTGTGCCTG